CTCTTGGATTGGAAGAATCAACATAGTGAAAATGTCCGTACTACCCAAAGTGATATACAAATTCAGTGCAATCCCCATCAAAATTCCAATGACATTTTTCTCAGAAATGGAAAGAACTATCCGGACATTTATATGGAATAACAAAAGATCATGCATAGCTAAAGCAACCCTGAGCACAAAAAATGAAGCAGAAGGCATAACACTACCTGACTTTAAGCTATACTACAAAGCTATAATAACCAAAACAGTTCAGTACTGGCATTAAAAACAGACACACTGCTCAATGGAATAGAATAGAGAATCCAGAAATCAACCCACACACCTACAGCCAACTAATCTTTGACAAAGGCACCAAGCCTATACACTGGGGAAGAGACTGCGTCTTCAGCAAAAGGTGCTGGGAGAACTGGATATCAATATGCAGGAGAATGAAACTAGACCCATACCTTTCACCATACACTAAAGTCAACTCAAAATGGATTAAAGAATTAAATATACACCCTGAAAGAATAAAACTTCTTACAGAAAACATAGGAGAAACACTTCAGGAAACAGGACTTGACACAGACTTCATGAATACGACCCCAAAAGCAAGGGCAACCAAAGTAAAAATAAACAAATGGGATTATATCAAACTATAGAGCTTTTGCACAGCAAAAGAAACAATTAACAGAGTTAAAAGACAACCCACGGCATGGGAGAAATTATTTGCAAAATATACATCCGACAAAGGATTAATATCCAGCATATACAAGGAACTCTAACAACTTTACAAGAAAAAAACAAGCAACCCAATTTAAAAATGGGCAAAAGAGCTAAGTAGGCATTTCTCTAAGGAAGATATACAAATGGCCAACAGACATATGAAAAAATGCTCAACATCACTCAGCATCCGGGAAATGCAAATCAAAACTACACTGAGATACCATCTCACCCCAGTGCCATTTGCAACAACATGGATGGACCTTGACAGAATTATATTAAGTGAAACAAGTCAGGCAGAGAAAAAGAAATACCACATGTTCTCACTTATTGGTGGGAGATAAAAATAAATAAATAAATTCACACATACACAAAAGAAAAACAAACCAGCGGGGAGAAGAAGACATAACAATTACAATTCCTTGAAGTTGACATGACAAGCATACAGAAAGGACATTGTTGGGTGGGAGGGGGAAGAGGGAGGAGGGAGGGAGGTTTTGGTGATGGGCCACAATAATCAACCACATTGTATATCGACAAAATAAAATTAAAAAAAAATAAAAATAATAAAAATAATAAATAAATAAATGAAATGAAAAGCTAGGACATATTCCTTGAAATCTAAAAGATAATATGCACAATACCCAGGAGTATGTGCATGCCCAGGGAAAACCTTACAAGGCCCAGCAGTCTCACCTCTGACTAACCTCTGTGCAATCAAGAATTCAAGGTTAAGGCATAGTTGTCAACTGAGTGTTGACATTGTCAACACGGTTATCAATCTGAGTGCCCATGGCATGCCCCAACACAAACACAGATCCCCTTGGGAAAAAGTTCATTCATTAGCTGATCATTAAGCTAAACAAGCAGAGACATCAAAAGCCACATAGACAAAGAATAAAGACTTTAAAGAATTCATTCAGGAAAGTCACTAAACAGCAGCTGCAACAAGAAATAGCAACAAAAACAAACCCTGGCATGGTGAAGAGTTTGATTTTTAAATGTGTCACATTACCTTATTTACAATGTCCAGTTATCAAAAAATAAATAAATAAAACATGCAAATAAAAAAGTGTGGTGCATACTCAGGAAAAGCAGCAGCCAGTTAATACTGTTCCAGAGAAAGCCCAAACATTGGACTTACTACTCAACAGATTTAAATAACCAATTTTACATATATTTGAAACATTAAAAGAAACCATGTCTACCAAACTGAAGGAAAGTTTGAGACCTATGTCTCACCAAAGAGATAATATCAATAGAGAAAGAAATTATGAAAAAGAACCAAATAAAAAATCTGGGGTTAAAAAATACATAATAACTGAAATGAAATATTTATTAGAGGGACTCAATAGCAGATTTTAGTCGAAAAAGAATTAATTGACTTGAAGATAGATCAGTTGAGATCATCTGGTCTAGGAAACATAAAGAAAGAGACCTGTGGAACACACATTCATAGAGTATCAATATATGAATATGTCTACAAGGAGAGGAGAGAGAGGGACAGTATGTAATAAATAATTTGGCTGGCCTTTGTCCCTGATTCCTGGTGTAACCTCTTAATCCTGTGTTAGGAGTGTCTTTGTTATTCACGGTGGGTCCCCCAGATCACGCCAGATAGTTTACATTACAGGGTTATACATATTAGGCCCCTAGGGAGTTTTCACTAATGAGATGACTCTAGATAGGGGCTGGCCACACCAGAAAGCCAAACCATGTGATTAGAGGGTTGCAGTATTGAGCAGCACATTATCAGTCCAGTATCAGCCTGACCTCCGTAAATTAATTTTATTTGAAATGTCTGGAACAGGCAAATCCATAGAGACAGAAAGTAGCTTTGTGGTTGCCAATGGCTAGAGGTATGGCAAAATGGAGAGTACTGCTATTGGGTAGGGGGTTTCTTTCGGGGGTGATATGTTCTGAAATCAGAGGCGACAGTCGCACAATTCTGTGTATATATGAAAACCACTCAATTGTACACTTTGAAAGGTTGAGTTTACGGCACATGAATTATATTTCAACATAATTATCTATGTTAATATTTATATATGAGTATAAAATAATGTCTTTCTAAAGTCAAAATTCCTTACAAACAGAATGTTTCTTAGAACTGCTTATAATTTTTAAAACAAACATGTGCTCCTGAAACCAACAAAATTAGCTACTTCAATTACAATACACAGAAGTTTTATGAATATTTTCATTATAGCAGGATTTGCTAGAAGTCTACAAACCATTAGTGGCATACAGAAAACAGTGATGCTTAAAGCATTCAATTGCCTACTACAGAGGCTACAAAAAAGTGAGCAAACTTTTCTCTTTCAAAATCAGCCTTGAAATTCCACTCACCAAGTACACCGCTCTTTGGAAGAAGGTTGTGGTCTCCAGAATTTTGTGCATTGTGATGGTTTCCAACTCATCAGGATCTAGTTGTTCCTTTTCAAAGGGCATCCCATTGAACAGAACGACAGGCAGTGGACCGACTCCAGTCTGCTCATAGTAGCCTCTTGCTTCCTGAAACAAATGGGACCTTTCATGAGACAAGTGGAACAAAGCATATTTTTATTACATGCCTGTTCTAACAACAACAAAAATGACTAGAAATATGGTAAAGAAGAATGTGGAGTATACTAAAAAGCATATGTACTTCACAGGGCCTGGTTTTCCAAAGTCTTGCAGTTTCAAATATTGACCTTACAAGGACAGAAAATTTTCCTCAGGCTATAAGTCTCTGTTGCAAGATAAGAATTGTGGCATAGCAGGTTGCTGGCTCAAAGACAGACTAGTTGGGGCCGGCCTGTTGCTCACTCGGGAGAGTGCAGTTCTGATAACACCAAGGCCACGGGTTCGGATCCCTATATATGGATGGCCGGTTGGCTCATTTGGGAGAGGTTGGCTCATTTGGGAGAGCGTGATGCTGACAACACCAAGTCAAGGGTTAAGATCCCCTTACCAGTCATCTTTTAAAAAAAAAAAAAGACTAGTTACTGATTGTTATGTAAAGATACTGAGAAATTGCTGTTAAGAGGGACTGTTTGCTAAGATCAAACTGTTGTTGATAGGACCACTTAATTGCCTTACTGGAATGTCATCTGGCTTGTTTCACTGAAAGTTACCAGCCTATATTGTTAAACTATAACCCCACCTTTGTTCTCTTCCTGTAACTTCCTGGTCTGGAAAATAAATGCAGGAAGAGAACCCCAATTCGGCGTTAATTTCCCGAGGAAGGGCTGCCTCTCACTGGAGGGTGCCTAGGAAGTTAACCTCTTCGGGGCTTCTCCCTGCTCAGAAGAGATGGGCTTTGAATAATCCTTTGCGTCTCCGTCACCCAGGGGAAGTGGGGTGACAAATCCATGGGGGGCAAAGCAACACAAAGCAACAAAAGAAATCACTAAAGATATTCCTTTTATAAGTGCAAAGTGACATCATAGTTAATATCTTACTGGGTAAATTTGAGATTGACTTACTCAGTTTTATAAAACCACAAAACCTTGCAAATTAGGAAGTGGTTCTGTGTGTGTGCATGTGTGCAGCCCAGGCTTCCAAAGCTGAATTATGCATACTATACAACTTTCTACGATGATGGAAATGTTCTATCTGCATTGTCCAATCCAGTAGCCACATGTGAGTACTGAGTACTTGAAATCTGGCTACTATGAATAAGTAAATAAATCTTTAATTTAACTTTAATTTCCATTTAAAAAGCCACTTGTGGCTAGGGACTACCATAATGAGTTGTACAACTACAGACTACCATAAATTATTACTACTCTTGGGCAGAAAGTCTGAGATAAAATATTTACACCCAATTCTAAATAAATAAGGGTCCACATCACTAATAAAAATATTA